CTTAAGGTTGTCTTTCTGACAGTCCCATGCAGTTGAGATCCGAGCCAGGTGTGATGGCACACATAGGGCGTCTTTGGTCGCGCCAGCCACCTGCGTCTGATCTTGCCCCCGCTCTTCTTGACTGTATATTTGCACCAGGGTTATGTGGGTGAGGGAGTGGAGAGTGCAGTGGGTTCTGCGAAAGTCACCGTCCCTTCATCACCCTGGTATTGAGTATACGGTGGACATCGTCGAAATCTATGGTCAAACTGTCGTGTAGGACAGGTTTACGACAATTCGATCGTCGGTGACACGTGCAATTACATAGGTCAGCTCGAAGGATTCATCGAGGACGTGTTGAGCGAATTGAAGCTGGTCGTTTGATGGTAAATTGCATTGTTTAATTTAGTTATTTGCAGCCTAAAATCTCGCTTTCAGCATTGTGGATTTAATATGGACAAGAGGAGAGCAAAGCCAGGCAAAGTATTGTCAGAGACAGACGTTTATCACAAATCGATTAACCGAGTCACTGAGTTGCCCCGCGGCTACCTATTAGGCAGGTGGGTGTAGCCCAGCCTTTAGAATATCAAGTTCTACGGAGATACAAACAATCGCTCTCAGAGACACTAATGACCTCTAGTCGATCGTTCTCTAGGCGCCACCTCTTCTCTCCGTTGTTTCGTTTTGGGTTGGTATACGTATATTTTAAGGGTTGCAGGCAGGGACTGCCCTTGAGGACCCTATTAATGTAAAGTAACAATATCATTTTTACAGTCAGTGTGAAGTTATTGAAATCCGAGTGAGTTGTCGGGGAACAATTTGAAACAGTATGAAAAAAATAAGGCCCTGAAAATGTTTACAAGACGGGCACTAAGAAATCGTGTTGTGATAGTTACACTTGCCAAACATAAAGCCATCAAGTCTTCTTTTAAAATCACCAACGGTGTCGCGAAAACCCTCCCGTTTTGCAGCGGGTTTGTTACCTCACCATTCTGATCGTTCAGACGCGTGGATCTTTTTTTTTCTCTCTGAATCCCCGCCTTCATTTAAACTTACCTCTCTCTACAACCCTGAATTACGTGGATTGCTGACCTACAGAGAGTAATCTTTCCCTTTAGCCAATTAAAGACTTTGCAAAATTTGACTGTTGTAGATGAGATTCGGACCGGCCTGTATCGGGGTATGTTCAATCCCGCCCGGCTAGTCACTGGCCTAGAGGATATGGCAAACAACTTTGGGCGGGGCTACTACGGTTGTCCGCAGAACTTGGTTGATCAGGGCATGAACGCTGTGCGCAAGGAGGCCGAACAGGCGGACAAATTGCAGTCCTGCCTAGTGTTTCATTCCTTTGGTGGCGGTACCGGAGCGGGCACAACGTGTCGTAAGTAAAACACATCCTTTTCCTACTTGTCCACAATTATGTCGTCGCCGTCTCGACAACCTACCCTTTTTGCATTACCTAGGATTGGTTGAACTAATGGATGCCGAATTCATGAAAGTGCCCAAAATCGAAATGGCAATCTATCCGGATTACCACAAGTCCTGCTCGGTCGTC